CAACAACGGATCTGGTCATGATAGAATTCACTCTACACACAATTGTAACTTGAGTTCAAAGTTATTGGGCACTTGGCATAACGGTCCAACTCGGGCCCAGTTATAAAATGAACGGGCCCATTAGCCTACTGATACTCCCCAATTGTGGAATCACCAACAAACCTCAGATACATTTTACTTTCCCTGAACCCTCGCCTTGATCTCTTCGTCGTGGAGAATGGCCGGCGGTGGAAATTTCATTCACAGAGTGATATCCTATCTCGCAAATGAGCTTATCGTTAATGGGCTCGCGAATAGGTATCTGATTTTAGCGTAAAGATTCCATTTTTTGTTTTCTTTCTTTATGAGATTATAATTTATGATTGCTGTGGATTATCTGTTGGGTTCATAAAATTGGAGTTTGCTTGCCGATGATGAATTCCGTAGGCTTGTACTGATTGCGGAGATGATTGCTATCTCTTGTGAAATTTTATCTGTCTGAGGCATATCAAATTTTGATTTACGAGCAGCTTTTTGTGAGCTCCTTTTGTTGGATAGTACCTGTTTTTTAAGGTTTACATTTTGCATATTTGTTGTCGTTAGAACCGTGAAAGTCTTGCTTATGCTCTTGGTTTTCTTGTTGGATTTTCATCGATAATAAAGTATTGCTTGTGCACGCGAATTCTTATTAGTATGCACTGGACGGAATAAAAATCCATTCTTGGTTTTATGGTTGTGTATGTTAAATTTCACCTTTTTGAGATTGAGGGCCAATGCAATCTGTTATCTTTGTGCATATAGGTAGACACTTCTATAATTCTCCTTTTTCTATGGCTAAATTTATCATCTGATGCTATTTAAGCTTTGTTCTTGGGCCATTGGTAGGGCCATTTGGTGATGCAAGAAGGTTGTTTGATAAAACTAAGTTTGATAAATGGTATCCTTACAACTTTTCATGTTCCTTTCTGATTTTTAAAGGTTTCTAGTAATGGCCTCCTGTTCAATGCTGTTGTAGACCCTTGTCGTTAAATGGAGTATTCGATCCATCTTTGAATTGAGTTGAGATATGAGCATTATGTTGGCTGGTGTATGAACTATATGGCTATGAAGCGTGAAAAAAAAAAATTGTTGAATAATT